GCGCCGTGTTCCTGCTCTGCCTCACCAGCCACCTGGGAAGGAAATCAGAAGGAAGGAGAAAGCTGTGGGTCCTTCCCCCAGAGGGAGCAGCCATGTGGGAGAGGAGACAGGGATTGGTCTCACCGCCTTTTCCTTCACTGCCTGTCGCGGTGGATGAGAAAACCTCTGCTGGGAGCCAGGGAACAGCACCCCTCATCCTTCAAGTGGGAAGTGAGAGGAGAGAGGGGAGCCCTGACGCCCTTCTCCTGAAAGCCCACCCCGTCCCTCAGTCACTTAAACACCGGCCCTGACCCTGGACTGGCTGCCTTTGCCCAGTTGTCCCCACCAGGCCAATGCCCCTCCTCTCCATGGAACTGCCTGAGGACTCGGCCCTAGCGCACCTGCCGCTGCGCTGGCCTAACTGCGCCGCCCCCCCCCCCCCCCCCCCGGAGTTTTATAGATTCTGTCCTACTTTCTTTGCAATGCTGGGGTGGTCTTTGGCCTTCTCACATCCTTCAGCGGTTGCACCACCCACACAGAGCGTGGAAGATTCTCCGTGATCGGTCCTGTCCTCACTCCAGCCTGGTCTCCCATTACAGCCCCGCCTCGGGTCTGTGTGCGCAGGCACGTGCCCTGCCCCCTCTAGCTCTTCTCAGCCCCTTTTAGTGGCCTGTCTGCACCCGCATTCCTTGCCCTGCGCTTTTGTTCACGCTTTTCTATCTTCCTGGATGTAGTCATCTCCTTCCTACTCCTTTCTCTATTTTCAGAGTCCTGGTCATCCATAAAGGCCAGCTCCCCCGCCCCTCCTCCATACGCCTCTCCTGCCCCGGAACACGCTTTTGTACCTACCAGTGGTGTGGCCCGAACACTGCATGGTCCTTATTTGTTTACACTTGTCTTCCAGCTACACAGGGAGCTCCTTGGAGAAGGGATCATGTTTTATTCATTTTTAAATTCTAGCTTGTCAAACAGAGCTTGGCGTGCATTCCTGTGTCCTCAGAAAAAAGGAGGAAGGAGGATTCTTGTACGAATGAATGTAAATGTGCTTTTAAACTGTAAATTGTTGTACAAGTGTCAGTTACTGTGGTATCCATGGCGCCCAGTGTAACAGGGCATTTGGAAGGCAGGTTTCCAAATAAAGACATGACTCGTTTCTGGAAAAGGTGGAGCAGTTGGAGAAACAGAAGGTGCTTCCTCCAAAATAAAGGCAAAAGTCTTGAAGAGGAGTTACAGTAAAAGGCTTGGGATTTGGAAATGCGAACAACAGGAAGGAGATAGAAAAGTATAAACCATAAAATCAGTAGGTAGGCCCTGCTGGTGTGGCTCTGCGGTTGAGCATCAACTCATGAGCCAGGGGGTCATGGTTCGATTCCCAGTCAGGGCACATGCCCAGATTGTGAGTTCGATCCCCAGTAGGGGGCATGCTTGATGTTTCTATCTTTCCCTCTCCCTTCCTCTCTCTCTGAAATAAATTTTTTTTTTAATTTTTTTAATCAGTAGGTAGAATTTTGAAATGTGAGCAGGATTTATGAACGGAACCTTTTTGAATTTGAATTCTTCCCCAGTTTCTACAGCATCTCTGCTGGATGGTTCCCCAGACCAGGGCTTCTCTTCCTATCATGAGGAATGTGTGTGTGTTGTGGGGAGGGGGGGTGGGGGAACAGGTTTACAATCAGCCACACACTGACACTTTTGAAAAATACAATAATAACAAGAATTAGTAGAAAACTAAAATAGAAGAAATCAGACACAATACAAGTACCAACTTATCATTAGACTCGACATATCTCATTCTGTCAAAGTGCTATAAAAGTTTCGACAGGCTTCCTCTCGATTTCTGCACTCACCTTGCTGCACATCAGTAACCAGCAGTTTAACTGGCTCCTGTTCATTCACACCTCGAATAGCACCAAATTAGATTATCACATATTTTCAATAATAGACATTACAAGGAATGGAAGAGTTAATGAGGAGAGGACACTCATGTACAAATATTATAATGGTGGAGATCTTAAAGGCATATACTGATGGGGAAAGAAATACTTTAGGCAAAATTTAAAACTTTGTAACAAAATTATCCAAATGGTGAAAAGTGTGTGTGTGTGTGTGTGTGTGTGTGTCCCCAGAGTAGAGTAAATTCTTGATCCTCTTGGAGAATAATTGTTTTCAATGCAAAAGTTTTAAATTGATCCTTTATTGTTCACAATAAGGTAGCAATGTGTGCCAACATCAAGCCAATAAAATTAATAATCGGCCTGACAGGCTCTAATACATTTTTTTGGTGTCCTTGCTCTGTCATTTGAGCACAGAATGAGCCGTTATTATCACTGAGCTGCAAACGTCTCATTTTGGCCTCAGATGATTACAGCTGCTAATGCAGTGCATGCTACAGTAGTTTTCAGGAACTGGTTTAAGGTTAAAGTATCATATTTAAAGGATTTAACTATGATCAGCAGGGGGAACAAGTTGTGGCCACAGGACTTTGATCTGTTTTCTAGAGCGGCCTGCAAAAATTTGGACTCCTAACGATCTATTTTCTCAACCATTTCAGAAAACAAGCAGCTTTTACAATCTAGTTTCTCTACCACAGACTCCGGAGTTTTGAAATGCTTTCAGTTGGCGATGGGCCATCATTTGTTGGAAGTGGGCCATGGTTCTTTGTCTCTCTCTCCCCAGATGAAATTCTTCAAGCCCCTTAACTCCATCTTTCCCTCGCATGAAGAATGTGGCTTCAGGTTTCAGCAAATAAGCAAGCTTCGCGCTTGAAGTGAGGAAAAGGATTGTTCGTTTTCTCATTAAACCCCAATGCAGCCAGCCAGGTGGGGTTGGCATGTGTCCGTCACCTTTGTCCCTCCCTTCGTCCTGCCTTTCGGTGCTGACCATGCCCATTCATAGTCTCCTGTTTTACTTTTTAAATTTCATACCCATCCATATCCTATGGTTCTACCTTCTTAATTTTGTGTACAATTTGTCCTTTTAAAGTATTGACCAAGCCCATTGAGGGTCATCCTATAAACCAGAAGGTCAAGGTTCAATTCCCGGTCAGGGCACATGCCTGAGTTGCAGGCTCAATCCCCAGTGGGGAACGTGCAGGAGGCAGCCAACTGATGATTCTCTCTCATCATTGATGTTTCTATCTCTCTCTCCCTCTCCCTTCCTCTCTGAAATCAGTAAAAATATGTATATTTTAAATGTTGATCAAAGTATTAAGCAGCTATCAGATATAACCATTCAGTACAAATTTAATGTTAGCCCATCCTTTGGGACCATGTTCCATATATAACTTTATGAAAATATCAGTGAATACATGCTTTTGGAAGGGTTTTCTGTTCTTTGAGGGAATGTAGTTTAGTTTTCACGTGTTCAAAATGCTATTACATCAGCTCTAACTTCCTTCAGCATTTCTTATTTGATACTAATTCTGTATCCTGTGTGGATACGTAAGCCTCTTATAATTGTTCCATTCATGAAAGTAAGGAGACTAGGTTTTGGTATTGTGGGTTTTTAATGACAACTGCACTTAAACCTTGTGAGTCTAATTTCTTATTGAGATATTCACTCTCTTAAGAAGAACAGATGTTACCACGAAGCTTGTTTCTAAAAAAAATATGAACATGGGTTCATGCATGACAGTGACCTTAATGCTAAGAAGCTCGAATGTTTAAAGTTATTTGATGCCATCTGTGAAATGAGCTACTGAGAAAGTTAATGGTGAAACCTGCCTGTTTTTTATCTGCCGAACATAGAGTGCAAGAGAGAATGGCTGGATTATTAAAAGAAAAGAAACGATTATCTGATGGTGCTTAAATTTCGGTTTCCCCTTTTGCTAGCTGCATCTCACTCCTGTTGTGTTTGTGACTGGGATGGGCCATGGTTTGTTGGAAGTGGGCTTTGGAATGAGGTTGTGGAGCTGCCTGATTTTCACAGGGTTCCTTCCTCTAAATGTTGCCGAAGCCCCTATGACGTTTGGTAGACGGCCATGGTACATCGTTCAGCCCAGGGCAGGGGATTGTATTTATTTTCTATTTTACGTTATTTCAGCTGTTTTCACTTTTTTCTTTATGGTCTTCTTGCCTCCCACTGGGTTCCTTTTGCAAGCATTGCCAGGGGGAGAGGGGACGCTCCTTATGAACTCTTTAGCGCAGGGGGCGGAAAGGAGTTTCCCTCTCTCAGCAGTTCACATAGCTTCTCAGCCTCGTACATTTAACCCACTGTGGTCTGAGCCCCAGTTAGCTCTGTTTGCAGCTATTTCTATGTTAAAACAAATAAATTCATTTCAGAGTTTTCCATGGGTCATTAACATAGCCTATTAGATAGCCTGAATCATGTGCTTTAAAAAAAAGTGTGTGTGTGTGTGTGTGTGTGTGTTTATAAATTGATATTTGGAGAAGAATTTAGTTCTATAACAACTGAGTTCTTTCTAATTTAAAGGTTATGTTTAAATCAACTCTGTCACTTTTTTCCAGTTTCATTAAGATATTATTCACACACACACACACAAAAGATATAATTGACATATAACATTGAATTAGTTTAAGGTATACAATATATATATAGTGCTATGGTATGTTAACCTCACATAGTTACAAATTATTTTTCTTGTGATGAGAAATTTTAAGATCTGTATTTCTGGCTTTTCACTGTGTGAATTTTGGAGTATCTTTGAACATATCATGATATCATATCTTTCAAGGAAACAGCAGACGATGTTTTTATGTCAAAACTCTGGTATTATTGGTAACTTGTTATTATATTATCCATCCAGGGAAGCTCTAAAGCATGTGGAGGTGGGAGTAGATAATGAATGTAGATGACACTCTCTTTGCTCAAAATCCCCCTTCTATGAATATGTTAAGTATTATCATCATCAATAAAAGAGAGACTCTGTATTTTCATAGTAGAGTTAATGAGCACATTAGTTTAATAATTACCTAAAACTGATGTAAAAGGTACATCATGCAAACTAAAGATGACTTGCAGAAGGACAGCAATGTTTGACCTCCTTCTCCTTGATTTCCTAGGATTACCTTGACTGCATCAGGGACCAAACCAAACTTCCTCTGGGGACAGAAGAAAGATCAGCGCTTTTTGGAAACATACAGGATATCTACCACTTCAATAGGTAAGTCAGTACACCAAAGATTGTTCTCACACCGGGACATTATGTATGTCTCTCAAATGAATGTGGCCTGAAAAAATATCTCCAGCCGCTGATTTGACTTCATAAAATGTGTGGGCTCTCGTGCCATGAAGTCTTCCCCCTGGAAGTATTCTTGTCTCGCATTTACTCAATATCCTGTCCCGCTCCATCCCCCTGGCTCAGACGAGAGACCTGTTTGCGCTGACACAGCAGCAGCATCTTCCTTCCACACCATGATGTGAACCAAGCATCCAAAAATCCACACCGGCTTCATCTGCAGCGTCCCACCTCCATTGCATTTTCTGAAAATTTCTTCTGGCTGGGGTGTGGGCAGGACACCATAAACACACAATAAATACTTGAAGTCATTTATATATTAATTCATATTCGGTAATAATGAAAGTTAAAAGTGATTGATTTAACTCAAACATGTATTAAGTACCTACTATGTAGCGGGCACTGGGCTTACTGGTAGACCGTGTTTGTAGTAAACAAGGCAGATGGAGCCGAAGGAGCTGGGCAAACATCAGTTATTAAAACGGAGTGTGATACTTTTTGGAAGACCAGGTAGAAGGCAGGTTAACCACAGACGGTTTCCAGAGTATCTGGGTTTGCTTCTCAGCTGAGCCATGGGCATATCCTTTGGTGAGTCTTTAATGGAATAAAATAAGCAATGTCCTCAGTTCAAGTCTTTGCTCAACTCTTCCTATCTCAAAGCACTTACTGGGCGCCCCCACACACACCTTACCTTCTCTGCTCTTTCTCTCCCAGAATTCAGCAATTTCGAACATACGATATGATTGACTTTTAGGATACGTCTCTTGTTTCTCTTTTTCCCCATCCCACTCGCAGAATACTGCCTGAGGGCAGGGATCCATGTGTTGTTGTTTTTTACTGCCCAAGTGCCTAAAACAGGGCCTGGCCCATATGGGCATCCGAACTTTTGTGGAATGACTGACTGAATGAATGAATAGAAACAATAAGAATATCTACCTCATATGGTTACTGTGAAGCTTCAGTGAGCTGATCCACCTAAAGAGCCTAGCTCACTACCAGCACAAAGGAAACACCAACATATTGACCAGGGATGACACCGACTGTGTTATGGTAAATCCCATTGTGAAGTTCTACGGTGTCCTGTCATCGTATGCCTCAACCACAGTGCAAATGATAAATCCCCCTTTTCATGTTGAAATTGGTATATGTGAGCTCTTTGAGGGCAGGATCCACATCTCCTTGGCCATCGATGAGTCCCTAACCCCTAGCGCAGCCTGGCCTCTGGGAGACGTGCCAACTGAATTGCATCAACTCATCCTTCAAATTTGAAAACCTAGGATGTCAACAATACAATACCGGTGTTGCCACATCCCTGTCGTATGATTCAGTAAACTTCGAAACCCAGTTTGCATGTTCCAAGACAGTGGTTCTCAACCTGGACTACTCACTAGATGGAATCACCTGGAAGCCTGTTTTATTTTTTATTTTTTTCTTAAATATGGTAGCTCCTACACCCAGAAATTCTGGTTAATTCGACTGGTGTGGGGCCAGGGCATCAGGAATTTTTAAAAGGTCCTCAGATGTTTGCAATGTGCACCATGGTTGAGAAACACTGTCTAGATCAAATAAACACAGTAATAAGAAAATAGTGAAAGGACAATAAAAAGCTGAACTAGGGAATGTAGAGTCCACATGTTCATGGAATGTGTTGGTGTGAGAGCAACCCCCACCCCCCCATGTTGCAGTCTCCCATGGTAAAACCCTTTGAGCCTTCCAGAACCCACCCCTGGCACTGGAACCTGGGAGGAGGGAGGAGGCCTAGGTGCTGGGAGGCCGCTGGCGTAGCCTCCCTGTGGTTTGGCTGTAAGCTGATGGCAGTGACTTTGTCTAGTGCTTACTTCAGAGGCCACAGAGCTTCATGTGTGTGATCCCCTTACATGCCTCCCCTGGGCCTCTCTGACTCCACACTCATTGTGGCGTGATCCGGGAAGGGTTTTCCACTCCCTGCAGTTCAAATCTTCATGCGTCTCCTAATGTAAAGAAAGATCGGGATGGAGTGGCTGCCTGCGTTGGCAACATGGGGCCTTGGCCATGGAGCCCCGGCTGCAGCAGCTGGAAGACTGAGAAGACCTTTCTGGTCCTGAATTGGTTCCCTGTTCTCTTCCCTTTGGCCTTCTCTCAGCGAGGAAGTCAGACGTGTCCGAAATAACCCGAGTCAGAGTGAATGAGTGCCCGGATGATATGCGAGGCATCTGTGCAGGGCCACAATTATGTGAGCGTGTTCGTGCCTGTCCCTTCTGCAGATCACATTTACACAGCTTCCTGCACATGCACTACCTCATTTCATCCTCTTAGCTCTCTGAGGAAGACCAGATGCACATCTTAGAGACTGGGTACCCACCTGTAGACGAGGCATCAGTGGTACTGAGTAGAAAGTCCTTTGCTCCAGGATGTAGAGCTGGAAACCCAGCCGAGCCTATTTTGAATTGTCAAATCTCTATTGGTGGTATTTTTGTTGTTATTATTATTAGTGACTCAATGCACAAAATTCGTGCAAGGGCCTTGGCCCCCGCCCACTACCGCCGCGGCTCCCAACCGCAGCCACAGCAG